AACATAATATGGCTGACGCTCCAATTTTAAAAAAATGTTTAGTTTTGTTTTTTTAGAGTCGTCACCTAAATTTTAAGGAAACTGTTAGGAAAACCCATATTTTAAGATGTAAAATTTAAACTCCATTTTAATTTGGGAAACCAATGAGATTCTGAGTAAGGGTTTTGATTACTCAAAGGAAGGTGTAAAGCACCTCTCAGAGCCTATCCGAAGATAGTCCTTAAACTAAATTTAGGAAAATATGATTCGGAAAAAACTTGTATGTATGTATATATATATTAAATAGATTTAGTAGTGGTATTTATATTATGTGATAAAAAATAAATGAATAAATGTACATACATGTATGATAAATTTACATGTAAAAAATATATATATAGTTATATTATAATAAACTTATAAAAATATAGATGTTAGATTTGTGAAAATTTGTCGCCTTATTAAAATGTGAAATAAAAATATAATAGTAGTTTGGTGTGAATATGTAGTAATGTGTGATGTGTAATGAAAAAATAATATATGTGAATGTAGGAAATTATAAAATACAGAAATCATATTAGCAAAACAAGACAGTAGATATATTATGTAGAGAAAAATCTAGAATTTATAGCTTTATATATATATATATATGACATATATATGTATGTACCTTGTATTTTGAACCTGTTGATATATCTAAATTTGAAATAACATGGGAGGAGATTAAAATAGTTTAGGCAAACTTTGATTCTTAAAACAAAATATAGGGTAGTCAATATATTTTATAAAGAGGTGAGAAAAAAAATAGGTCTAACTATTGAGACTTGTTTTGTACTAACAACTTCTATGTCAATTTTTTTTGCTCATAAAGTATAGTCCCTACTTCTCAAGAAATAATTTAAAGAAAGTAATTGTTTTAGCCTAACATATTTCTGTGGATGATTATTTTAGCTTCTAAACTAATCTTAAATTTATTTGGGTGATCAGTTAGGCATACATGATATATGTTTGAGCCCTTTTTCAACTTCATTTGAAAAATTCTTGAACTATAAGCCCCTTTTTAACTTAAAAACCTGAAAGATTGTTTTAACTAAAAAATGTCAACCCATTTAAGGAGATTTTTTTTTTTATCTTTTGTTCTAAAAGCATTTCAACTAAATTTATAAACATATAATATTGGCTCACATAAATAAACTTCAAAATAAAAGACAAACAATATATCAAAACTTAAGAGAAAGGTTAGCCAACAAATTATATAACATAATTGAGATTCGAAAAGAGAAAGGCTAAGAAATATTGGACTTCTAATTTGCGAGACTCCAAGCGTTGCAATGATATTAATTGTTATTGGCCTAATATTTTAGGCCAATAACGAGTTCCTAAGTAGAAACTCCAACTCACCGGTTATACGTGAAACATAAGAGAAAACAAAAGGTAAGAATACATAAATTATTTTGATGAGGAATGTAACAATTAAAATGAAACATCAAATACTTCGTTTAGTTAACTTTGATTCAAATTTTCACTCCAAGACTATTAAATAAAATATTTAATGAGTTGGGAAATGCCACATAACACACTCTTAAGTTGATCCTAAGAATGGATACAAAAAAATATGGAAGGTATAGTTGAAGAGCAACAAAACCCTTTATTTAGTGAGAATATGGAATCTTAGAAGCAGAAACTTTTAAGCATTAAAATTTAATTAGAGAAACTTTACCTTTGGAATTAAAGAGAGATGGAAATACATTATTCGACCCAAATTAGTTAGCATTAAATCAAAAAATCTATTACACTATCGAAAGCCAATTTTATGCTGGTTTAAAATAGGAAAAATTATATATAATAGCAAACTAATGACCTAAAATAAATGGAATAGCTAGAGTTTGATTTAATTGTGCTCCATAGCAAACGTTAGCTAAAATTTGACAGCGTCTCTCTCCCAAAAATCTTGCTCGCCACTCTCCATTCTCGCTCGCCTCTCTCGCTTTATACACAGAAGTGTATAATTCTGTTTCTGTTTTGTATAAAGCATGAAAAAATTGTATATATACACATGCAAAAATATATATCTTCGTGTTATACACTTAATTATACAATTTACAAACATTTTACCTCAAATATTGCAGAGAAAAACACCTACAAATTATACAATTGCGAATTATATAATTGTAGTAAAATACGATTTTCTCTAGCTTTATACAACAGAATACAACAGAAGTGTATATATTGTGTTTCTGTTTTTGTATAAAGCGAAAGAAAAACATATATCTTCTTTCTATACACTTATAATTATGCGATATACATACATTTTAATTTGATTCAACTGTATGCAAAGCAAATTTTATAAAAATATTGCAGCGAAATAGGCAGCGAATTATACGATTGTGCATTTACAATCGCAGTGAAATAAGATAGCAAATTATACAATTTCAGCGAAATAGACCAGCAAATTATACAATTTAGACCAGCAAATTATACAATTTATGCAAGTGAATTATATAATTTTCTATGTATAGGATATTATACAGTTTTATGTTTGCTATGAAGCGTAATTATGTAAACTTTGCTATAGCATACAAATATGAATTTTTTGTTTGCTATTTGTGAAAATTGTCCAATTAAAAAAGCCGACTATATTTTTATTAACCAATTCAGCACATTAACTAACAATAAGGTGGGAGTTTGAGGCATAACAGTAATATCACAATAAAAGATTGCAAACAGAGAAGCTATATTCTGATAGTAAACCAAGTTTTGCTCCAAGTTCTGCACATATCACCAAATTGTGATAAACACTGGCGGTAGTTCAGCGCATGAAAACGAGTTAATAACAGATATACAAGAGGTTTCATACACGCTGGAAACAAACCTCTAGAGCGAACACGACCACAAAGAGATAGAGAGAGAGCAACACAATAATTTCAAAGATTGCTGGAAAAGGAAGAAATACGGTCATGGACGTATTCAGGCAAACAGTCGACTAGCTCATAAATTCCAACGAAATAAAAAGAAACTTCAACAAGGTTACAGGTTGGAACTTTGGACCAAGCTGAAATTTGATACAAAATGGTTGCTATCAGTTCTGGGCAAATCGTCCTATATCAAAACATTCCAGACTAGACCACTAAACTCAGCAAGAAGAGGATGGAGATTTAAGACGAGATGAACAATTCAGAGAAATTACATCTCAAACAAGAAGAAGGGCGAATTGAAATGTTATCACCATAAATCAAATACATATTTCTTGGTCATCATAACAACACTAATGAAGTCGACCAAAAATGCCAACAAAACTGAGCATAAATTTATACCATTGGCAAAATTTGGATGAAGATTGAAACAGTGTTTATACCCCTCGTAGGGAAGCAAACAAGAGCTTTGACGTCAAGAGATTCCAACTTCAAACTTACTCGAACTCAAAGCCAAAAGAAAAGCAGAGAAGTAAAAAAATGTAAGTAGGGCTATTTTGTGATTCCCAATCGATTATTCAATGTTGTTCTATCTGTTTTTCTCAATCGTTGTTAGTTGATCTCCCCCCTTGAATGAGAACCAAATGGCTGATTTTATAGCCGATTATGGAAGGCTTCCCAACCATCGGATTAAGGGATAATGATCTCAAATCCGATGGTCATTCACGTTCCCCACTTTCAGACAGAGCAATAATGATGTTCGAGACTTCTAGCTTTGGTTTGGGTTAGAAATAAATCAGAAAAGATGTAAAGTTGATAGAAAAGAGGGCTATGATTGATGGACGGCGGATGGGGGAAAGAGGTAACGTTGGATACCGCCGGATATTGTTGTTTTCCGGTGGTCCGTGGGCGTTTCTTTGGCAGCGGATGATGGACGATTGGTGAGAGAGGACGAAGGGGCATGGGGAAGGATGAAGACGCGTGCAGCGCCTGGGGAAGGAGGAGAAAGGGTGAAGCGTATATATTAAATAATAGTAAAAGTTGAATCAATTGAGACCATTAGATTGAATTGTAAGCTTGAGATTTAATCTAAAGAAGCATAATTCATGTGTTAGCCTACATGACATACAAACGGATTGATTGGTTAAAGGACATATGAATTGCCAAGAGAGCTCAAACTAAAATCATTTAAATTATAACCTCTTCTTTTTTACATAGTCATAATTTAAAATTAAAAATTATTATTATTTTGCAAGATTAGATTATTTTATAAAATTCATCCCTCTTAAATTAAATTAATAGAAATTAGTGACTCATTAATTAATTAAGATTTCTAATTATACAAAAAATATTTATTGTGACAAAAATAAATTATTTTTGAGCAAAATTAGATCCATTTTTTAAGAACGACATTCATCTTTTTAAAAAAATAAATGAGAAAGTAAGTAGTAATACATATTTAATTTTTTATAAGAAATAACATTTATAAAATAAATTTATCAAGTGAAAAATAAAGTATAATTTACATAAATCTCATTGTGTAAAATCTAAATTACTTTTTATCCTACTTTTTATCTATTTTACAAAAATTCCTTTTAATTAAGATTTCTAATTATACAAAAAAATATTTATTGTGACAAAAAGAAATTATTTTTGAGCAAAATTAGATCCATTTTTTAAGAACGACATTCATCTTTTTAAAAAAAATAAATGAGAAAGTAAGTACTATACATATTTAATTTTTTTATAAGAAATAACATTTATAAAATAAATTTATCAAGTGAAAAATAAAGTATAATTTACATAAATCTCATAGTGTAAAATCTAAATTACTTTTTATCCTACTTTTATCTATTTTACAAAAATTCCTTAAAGTATAAGTCATACGGATACCTAATTGGTTTTCCGGATACATTAATTATGATACATTATAAATATGGTTGTTGCGCTTAAAAAGAAAAACAAATCAGAAAATTATATTAAAATTCCATAATTTATGGTATTCAATTCCTCTTTAATGTCAATCACAGAAACTAAATCCTAAAATAACAAATCTATTCAAAATTCAAAATCCCTTTTCATCTTTGCCCCTATTTCAACAAAGAAATTTTCAATTAGGATTCAAAAATTTTGTTGAAAATTTGACAAGATACATGATGAATATTTTGATTTTGACTGACACTCTCGAAGGGAGAAAAAATCAAAAACCATAGCTTTGGGGTTCTTCGAATTCTAAATAAATCTCACTATGAATGACGATCAGGTCTGAATTTCTTTGACAACTTTCTTGGTATCTTTATTTTTGTGTTGGTGGTTGCTTGCCAGTGTGATGGCAGAGCTCAAATATGAAGGTATTTGAATGTTGGTTATTTTATAATTATCTTGGGCAAAATTTGTTATTCTTATTTGCCATAACTTCGATTTTCGAGTTAAAAGATTGATAACAAAAAGTATCCAACACATATTTGTATGCTTTAATCATTGTTTTTTCATTCATGAATTCGTATATTGACCAATAGCTCATGATGCATTACTGGATAGAACTTGATACATTAAAGTTTTGACGTATATGTTGTGGGTTTGAAGATCTGCGAGTTGATGTGTGTTGTTAATAAAAAGTATCACATATGTGCATTTCTTTTTTTTATTTTTGAATTTGTATAAGCATATATAAATCGTGATACACTACTGGTTTCAACTTGATCCAATTCTAGTTTGATGTGTACGTAATTAATTTTCTAGATGTGAGCCAGTGTGTTGTTATTATAACGTATTAGATACATATATATTCATTTTTTTATGTATCAATATATGAATTTCTTTATCAATATATGACCGTATGTATCAATAGATAAATTATCATGTATCTGGAATTAGTTTTCATTAGGCTATCGTATACTTTAAAATGAGTTGATTGATATGTGATGTCTTTCTAACTTTCAAGTGTGTGCAGATGGTGAAAGTCGTGGACAAGAAGGTCACAATTGAAGAACTTGTACTTTTTTTCGAATGAAGATTGACAAAAAAAATTTTAGAATAGTATTATGTTTTCGATACATTATTTTGAAATTATAGATTTTCAATTTTTTTATTTTTTTCATTTTTACCTTGATAGAACATTACAATTAATTATCAGGTGAAATTCTGATACAATAAATTGAAATGTTAATATTTTGAACTTTGTGTTTATTTTTGTAACAAATTGTGTTTCATACATACTTCTATTTAAAATAATGTATCATTAGGTATTTGATAATAATGTACGAAAGATTGTGTTTGTGGAGATGGTACCACTTAATAAGAATTAATATATATTTTTATATAATGTATCATGTTCTAATTGAAATGGTGTATCCTATACAATAGGGTTGTGAAAAAGTAGTATATAAAATTAAATAAAATATATCTTTGCATGTATCACAATAATTAAGAATTAATTTATCAATAGATACATGAATGAATTAGCAAGTACTTACAATAAATTATTCAATGTATCAGTATAAATCAATACGCAACTAACTAGAACTAATTTATCAAGTTACATAATTGAATCAACAGTCAAGTTATAAATTACATTGCATTAGTTAGGTGTTAAAATGTATTAGTAATTAACTAAAACTAATTAGAAAAGATAATATAGTGTATTTATATGCATTTATGAACCTAATACTTAATTTTATTCGGATATCCATACTGTAAATAACATCTAACAATAATGAAAATTAGAGTCAAATTAAATGATTTTTTAGAGAAACACTCTAAACACATGAGTACAAATATCTTAAAACAATAAAAACAAAAAATTCTAAAACTAGAGTTAGTGTATCTCAAAAACAATAACGTTATGGAAAAAAAAGGCGTCTAAGAACTCATAAATAATCTCTATTCAACATTAACCAAGCCATCTTGAGCTAGTGCTATGAATCGACTCTTCGATCTTAGTTGATACTTAATGATAATAGATAGTAATTGATACTTAATATCATATGATGTTGTATACAATCTGACAGATATTTGCATCTGCTACAAAATGTAACATTATATATTCATAATATGATATTTACGTATCATCTGTTCAACTATTTAGACTATGATACATTGTTCTGCAGTTTATACCCATAATATAATTTGAACTTTAGTCTTTGATAAATCGAACATAAATATCAATTAATGTACTAAATTCAGGGTTTTATTTATAACAAACTGACATTTATTTGAATCTGATACAAAATGATACGTATAGCAAGTATAAAGTATTTTAATTGTGTATCTGAGGTAAATACTCACTTCAACTTGATAAAGTGTAAATGTATCAAAAATTTATATATAATACTAATTAAACTCACATACTCATTATCATGTATCAGGTTTAATTATAGTATATAATATAAGATTCTACAAATTATAACCTATTTTACAATGTGAACTTTATAACTTCATACATTCATAACACCTGTTCAAAGCGAGAATAAAATTAGAATTTAATGTATCTAGATAATACTTTAACTTATGATACATGATCATACGAGAACAATACCTTGTCACTAATATACCTGATTTTTTATACAACTAACAAAGAAAATATCAAACATCTATCAAAAATTTATATCTAATACTCATTACAACTTGATGAACTAATATTGTTTATCTGGGGTTGATCATCATTCTTTTCTTTCGCTTTTGTACCATTGGAAGTTCAAGTACACCCACACAAAAAATAAATCAAAAAAAATTACCTCGACAAAAAAAATAAGATTAATATTAGGATTTGTAGTCATCAATTGCAGAGAAATTAATTAGAAACGGCGTTGTTCTCATAAGCACTAAAATTGTTAATCTCAGATGAATTTAATTCGACCAATGTAAGATGAAGACGATGAAGCTTAAAAAAATGAAGAACAGTAGAATGGAAAAGATGAAAACTTGATTTGAAATTAATTGTAACTAGAGAAAGAAACCTTTTGAAATTCAAATTGGGATCAAGGATGTAACTGATATTATCGGAGTGAAATAAGGGAGAGATTTAAGGAACAAAAATAGGAAGGGAACGTGAGTTGTTGTGTTAGGAATAATGTATGTGCTGACTTAAGAATTGAGGGAAAATAAGGGATTTTAGAAATATTTTATAATAGTCGGAATTAATAGAAATTATGAAAAATATGGTGTGTATATAGGTAATTTTTTCAAAAATAAATGACTAATAAAAGAATTTTCGTATTCTTATAAAAATCTTACAACATAGATTTTTATTCTTCTTCTTCTTCTTCTTCTTCTTCTTAATACTATGTAGAGAACCAATATTGGGTGTCAACAACGAATTGCTCATGATTTACTTAGATGATTTCCATATTGTGCATGTTCGCAAAAAACTTATGTTTTGAAAAGAAAATGAGTTTATATGATTGATTTTTCTTATGGTATTGTGCATTGAATATGAGTTGCCTATAGATTTCATGAGATGAATGGTTTAACATGCTTTAAATCAAAGTTGATATGTCCTTGAATATATGCTTTTGAGTATGAAGTTCATATGGGCTCCATGGGATTGTGTTGAGCATGCTTTTAGCTTGGAGATGTAGTTCCTCCTTAAATATGAGTAATCTAGAATTCTTTGCATATTGGGCTGATAGGTCACGCACACAAATATGAGTAATAATTTGGATTTTAACTTAGAAATTTTTGAGATGTTACAAGTCCAATATATTTATAAATCGATAGTCACTAAGTCGAATCAATAAATTTTAAAAAGAACAAATCGACTGTCACACAACCCTATTTGTACACCATATCTAAACTTTTAACAATTACCCAATATAAAAGGAAGCCCAATGCATAGGGCACCTTGCATTAGCTCGGTCCAGAAAAGGAGCGAACTCCAAAAAGTGTGATGTAGACAGCCCGATACAAACATTAATGATTGCTTCCACAGCTAAAACTTGTAAACTATGGGTCACATGGAGATAACTTCTTTAGTTTTAGTCCCGAGCTCCCTTTAAATTACCCAATATCACTTCCAGATTTTATTTTTAAGTCAGTTTCTGATTTAATAATCTAGTCTAATTGTTCTTAGCAAAACCATCAATTTACATTTCCATACAGCAAGACATTTGTAGCGTTGCCTTTGCTGCTAAAAAATGAGTGTTGAACACAAATATGATTTGAAAATCATAAACAACGAAATTAACTTTACAGGAATGCTGTATTTCAAACTACATACTACTACGAGTCTCACATTAATACTAACATCCCATTTCACTTCTATACAAACTTGCTCACTGCACAACACCTGCCTTGGTATGTAAAGCAAAAACTTCGATCCAACTCAATAAAGGGAATTTAACTTAGTTCAACCTTGTGCTATTCCTCCTTCCCCACCATTTCTTTTTCATTTTGTCACTGCCTCCTTCATCACTCCCCAGTTTATTCAGAATCACCTTTGTTTCTCTCAATCTTGATCCATAATCTTTCTTCCAAGCTTCAAACATCTGCTTCAACCTCCTTAGCTCACGATCTGGACTCAAGTTAGCCTCAACTTGACCTGATTTTACTTCCACCAAGAACTTAGCATCGTCACCAAACACTTGACTCCTCTGCTCAAACTCCTCCGCTAATCGGCTTATGACACTAAGACCTGCGCTCATTGGTCGTACTCCATTGCTCTCTCTGGCCCTCTGGTTACTTCCTGTCTCCCAGCTAGACTCTTTCTCATCAGTTGGATTGACAGATGCATCGGAGTTCCTCCTGGAATCATCAAGGGCTAAGCTCCTTTTTGCAATGGAAAGACTTGACTGCAGCGATCTCATTTGTTTCTGCCATATTTCTTCCATGGATTTCATTTTCAACTCATACTCTGACCAACGATTCTCATACTGCTGTAGTCTCTGGTGAAGTATGTCATTCTCCTCTTCTTTTTCTCGTAGAGCAGCTTCAGCTCTAAGGACTCGACGTTGTAACTCTGCCAGGAAAGAAGACTTCACCAGCACCTCTTCTGACTCATTACCCTATAACAAGCTAACTGGGATAAGAAACCAACGGAAGAGAATGGGCCCACTGCTAATAAAGATAAATGTTGTGCTTTGTCAATAAAGTTAACTAACAAACTTGAAAAGCAATGAGTGCACAGTAAAGAGACGTCACAAAAAGTTGTCATTCCCAATTTAATGCCACCCATGATTACCTTTCTCCCGCCAAATTGTAACAGTCCAATGTCTCCTGAGCATCTTCTGACTAACCAGCCACGAATCACTGGAAAAGAAATTCCAGGAGGTTAAAAACTACAACATTAAGTATAAAAACCAGGTAAAATCTATTGGATGAGCAAGTCATAATATTGTTAAAATCATAGGGTAAATATATTACGTTAACAAATAAGAGTCTATAATTCTACAAACCCAAAATGTACAGCTATTTGTGCAAAACATCTTACAGACAATATCTGTTGTTTATCAGATCATCAAACTAAAAACAAGTTGCTCATGTCTGAAAAATACAATAAAAATAGGAGTATAATTCTAGTATTCTACAAGCCCAAAATGTACAGCTACTCGTGCAAAACTATCTTACAGCCAATATCTGTTGTTTATCAGATCATGCAAACTAAATACAAGTTACTCATGTGGAGCTTTAGCAATTACCAGATTGTATCACAATTGATGCATCATGAACATTTTCGTAAGTCTTCCTTTTGGTCCTGCCTCTTATTTGCTTTTGTATACACACAGCTGCTTTGTGTTTCTGTAGTAAGATTGCATATTCTTTTCTAGCTTTCTCGCCACGTACATCTGTACAGAAAAAGCATGCAGGGACGGAGTCATAAACCCTACAATAAGCCAATAACAGAAAAGCAAAAATTTCGAAGTTCAAACAAACCGACATGACTGAAGTGTAGCAATTCCTCTTTGAAAATGTTTAAGATCTCGGCGAGCTTGGTGACCTCTAAAACAGCTTTGAACACATAAGATGCCATGGAGAGTGCGATTTCTTGTATCTTCAAGAACTCCAATCTGAAAGAGTTAATAAGAGAATAACTCATTTTGAATTAGTATATGGAACAAATGAATGTATGGTCTTTAGTTTGGAGAAATAATTATTTTAACATGATCTTAAACCATTCTATCAGACAAATTCTCAAATCGCATGGTCTATAGTGGACATCTCAATAAATGACGTGGATG